GAGGGGCCAATCACCTCCAAGGTGTGGCTTTACTCCCAAGTCAACCCTGCTTTATTAGTTGTTCTTTTCTTCTGGTAGTTCTGCGCATGCACACACTGGGAACAGGCTCCAGCTGTTCCTCTGCCTCACTGCTGTCTAGCTCCCTCTCTGCCTCTGATGCAGAGCCCTCGTCTGAGCTTTCCTCAGCCCCCAGGACTGGCCCATGTTCCTTCCCAACCTCCTCCCTGTCCGACTCTGCTGCCAGCTCCACTGGCCGCAGACGGACCACGACAGTTTTCCGGAAGGTCACAAAAGGTGATCCCAGGACCACAGGACACTTCCACCATCATAAATACATGCCAATTGCCAAGCGTCCAAATTTTGACCACATGACCATGGAGATGCTGCAAAAGTCGAGTGAAAAATGGCCATAAATCACCTTTTTTTCCAGTGCTGTTTTAACTTTGAATATAGTCACTGAACGAACGGTTATGAGCCACAGGCTACATGTTTAGCAAGTCCTGGACCTCTCGAGCATCCTGGGTAGAGAATTCCCAAGAGCCAGTTACGGGGGCAGCCGAACCGCCCCAAGGCTTTCAACCTCCGGTGTTCCTTGATCTCCCCATCCAACATCCCCATCCCGCTTTGTCCCCCATCTCAGCTTGTCAATACAATCCGCCTTACATTTGGAAGGGATTAAACTGTATCTCACTCCTGGCTCTCTTGAGGGAGGGGGGGGCGAAGGAATTGCCAGATTCAATCATGCATGTTCGCAGAAGATCTTTTGGAAACCGTTGGATTCGAACCAACTTCTCATTTCTGACATGCGTTTCTCATAGCCTGATTCCTACAGTTTACTTAAAATAAACAAGTCCTTATGGTCGGGGTGTTCTGTTTCCCGAGGGGAGGGGAGGGGGGCGACAGGACAGTTCGGCTTGCTCTGCATCTGGGTTGCCATCTTCATCCCGCTCTTGTCAAGCCCTTTGATTTCCACCAGCTCAGCTGCCTCCTTCCCCCGCCCTGCCCATTTCACTCCCGCTCCCCTCCACCCAGTCCATGTTCCATAAACATTTCTTGACGGGATCCTACATTATCCAGATGCAGCCGTGCTTTGAAAGACTGCTCCGATTTCTGCAAAGGATGTTTGACATTTGTAGACCCTCTTCTAATAAAGATGCAAGGAGGAGATTGCGACCGAAGGAAGGGAAGGAATAAAATGATAGCCTTACCCTTCCAGCCCTCTCGGGATAGGCCAGCACCCCAAATTCTTTGCATAGTCAACCGCTGTTGGCCAGGAACAATCCAATAAAGTTGGGGCAGAATTATAGACGGCTTGCTAATGGATGAGTAAAGGAGATGGATCCATCTGCTGATGTCTCCAGGTTAGAACTTGGGTTATAGAGGGCAAGATTGAAAAGGTGCCTCTCTGGAATTCCATGGAATAGCCATGGAAATTACCTTCTGTGGCTCTTCATCAGAATAACAACANGGGAACACGGAAGTTTTTTTTCAGCAACTTGACATCAGGAGGTTACAAATTACCATATTTTTCAGAGTATATGAAGCACCTTTTTCCCCTCAAAAAAAGAGGCTGAAAATCTGGGTGCGTCTTGTACACTGAATACAGCATTTTTGGCCTCCTGAAACCCCACCCCCTTCACCAAAATGGCCGTGCATAGCCTTTAGGAGGCTTTCAGAGTGCTCCTGGCGGCTGGGGAGGGCAGAAATGAGTGAAAAGCAGGCCATTTTTTGCTCAATCCCCACCCCCACCACCGGAGCACTCTAAGCTTCCTAAAGGCTATGCATGCAATTTTTTTGACAAAAAACGGGCCCGTTTTCTGCTCGTTTTGGGAGGACACCCCCCAGGAGCACTCTGCAAACCCCCTAAAGGCTATTCGTGCCTTGGGGGGGGGGGAGAATAAGCCCATTTTCGCGAAAAATGGGCCGGTTTTGGGAGTTTTGCAGAATGCAAAAACTTTTTAAAAAAAATTTGCCTCTTCAAAATCTTGGTGCGTCTTATACACCGAAAAATACGGTATTCCTGCACGTTTGTGAAAGATACCTAGGAATCCCTAATTTTTCACAAAAGCCAAGAGGAAGATGGACAGCTAAGTGCCTCTTCGTTTCAACCTCTCATTAGAGTAAGTGTTCGGATCAGGCTTCCTTAGAAAACAAGAAGCAAAGTCTTGGTCGCGACAAAACTTCCTTTATTTACCCGACTGTGAATTCCTTTCATTCACAGTCAGCAAGCCCTGGCAAACAGTCTTTCAGAGGAATGTTTATCCACACGCACCTTATCTCATTTGGAGCGCTGCCCGATAACTTGTTTCCAAACACAGAGCAAAAGAAAACTTGGCACAGTCTCTTATAATCCCAAACAGAACTTCCAGACCAAAATGAACCAATTGCTTCCTGCAGAAGCCCCCTCCCCATTTGCTCTTTTGTTTCCTATGGGAGGGGCCAATCACCTCCAAAGTGTGGCTTTACTCCCAAGTCGACCCTGCTTTCTTAGTTGTTCTTGTCTTCTGGCAGCTCTGCGCATGCGCACACTGGGAACAGGCTCCAGCTGTTCCTCTGCCTCACTACTGTCTAGCTCCCCCCTCTGTCTCTGACGCAGAGCCCTCATCAGAGCCTTCCCCAGACTCCAGGA